TCAGCTGACGTCAACCCAGGAAATTTGTCACATAAAGATAGTTTGCCATTACTTTACTCAATGAGACTTTCATAAATTTGAAGGTGTGAATCTATCGTCGCTTTGGAAGTAGGAACGGACGGATGTAGCACCAAATAATACGCACTAGTGCGAAAGGTTTACAGAGGGCCTAAGTGGGTCACTAGGGTTCTCAGGCCATAAGAAGCGGGTACAATCCCAGTCAGCCTCTTGTAAACCCACTCTTAGGAAAGCTTTACTATGTCAGCCGTTAAAGGCATTATTTTTCATCCTGACATTAATTTGATTATCTCCTAATTTGTTCTGTCCAACGAGGGACCTGTCATCAAACAGTCATTTAACTAGGTACATTTTTGTTACTCTGGCACTACAATTAAATCACAAATTTCAGAGAGAGTGGTCTTAGAATCTTCACTCTGTGATGTGGGCAAATAGTGACCATTAAATTTGGCTTGCTCGGGAGGTTACCTCTTCTGAAATTATAATTAACTGCTCTGCAATTATATCATTTAGGCAGGTAACAATTCTGGTGTCTTACGCAGTTCGCGGAGTCTGAGCCTTTAACGCCCATTTGCCATTCTGTAATTTAGTGGGCAATTTTTGGATGGTTAAGTCTCCACGGAAGTTTCGTACCCAGTATTGTCAGATTCAAAATTTTACTCTCTCAGTTTGACTCTGAGTAAAAGATTGTTGGACTTTCTTCATTTTACATTTATTTCCAGTGCTTTCTAATTCCCACAATTTATGCACTGTGGCTCAACACCTCCTCATGGAAGATTATATCTGGGGTACGATTTCATGAGTAAGGCATACAGTTATGGTATTGTAGTATCCTCTAGCATGATTTAATTATTACGAGGAATCCTACCATACATTATATGGCCTCCTGCGTCTTCAAAGGGGGACACCACTTTTCTTTACCATTACCCTTTACAATGGAGGCATAATAGTCATACCTATCAAAATATTTATGGGCCTACAGAATAATCATTACACCAGAGGTGCTAAATTTACATTATGTGAGAGTCTGTAGCTTTACTAGCCCTACTGTAGATTATTTTCTCTGGGAAGTCTATCTACAATTACTGCTTTAACCACGTTTTTTCTCATTGCCCAACCTGAAGTTAAATAAACAGTGTTATACAATTGAGCCCTTTTATCCGAGAGAAAACCAGATAAGATAATTTTAAAGTTGTGGGATCTCCCTTCGGTACTTCATACCATCAAGACATTTAGTTTTATGGAAAGAATACGTGGGATCCCTGGTCAATAATGCAGTTACATTTTTTGATTTATTGCTTTTATCATCAATTTTTACTGTATCACAGTAAGGTACTTCAGCAAACATCTTTATAAAAATAAAACATTGCAGAATTTTACATTAGCTTCGGTTGTGTCAGTTTGGTCAAATTATCATTTTTATCAACATTGTCATATAGACCCTTACACATGACTATTTTGGTGTCTTCCTCTTGTGACAATGGTAACAGTTGTTTAATTTATCTGACAATCCTTTACATTGTGTTTACCTTAACACCTGATACATCTGGTCTAAGTTCCTCGCCAATCTTGCAACTTTAATCATTTCCATGAATTGTATGCATTTGCAATTCTTAGAAAATTGATACCCTTACAGAAGGGCAATCTCTCTTTCTTTGACTGGTTTTTATTAACTGGGCCATCTGGAGGGTACTTATTTCTTCTTACCTTGTGGAGAATCATTATTTCTGATTCCTGCTCTTGATATCCCCTATGTAATTTTTTTTAGAAATGACTTTTGTATTAATTAACTTAGGATTATTTTTCCTTTGTGAAACTTGGCAGATACTCTCAGAGTTATCTGTGTTGAATCTTTAAAATGAGTTAGTTGGCGGTCTGCAAATGTACATTAATTCTTGTAGACCTATGTCTTATTCCTTCAGACCAAAATAACCCTTGTTGTGATATTTATTCGAGAGCCATTCATCAAGTGTTTTACAGCTTAATTTATTTGTACATGGCACTCAATAACCAGTCTGATTCCTTCAGATTATATTTATTACTTAAAGTTTTGAGAGTGCTCTCCAGTTTAACTCTAAACTGCTGTAAACCTTTGTATGTGTGATCTGGGAGATTTTAAATTAACAATAACATTCACTACGATCCAACTACCTTTGTTTATATTTACATAAGTGACTTTCAACAAGTCACCTGCTTTTGTAAGAGTTCATTTACATTGGGAAAGGCTTGTAAGGAGTATGTGAGATCTCTCGTTACCTGTCTTTGAGGTAAAATAATTTAGTTACACAGGCTAGATCACTCCCTATCATGACAGTGCTTTAAAATTGACCAAAAATTCCTCCCAATTTTCTCCAGGACTAAACACAGGTAACACCAATTCGGGATGTTTTGGGCAAAGACATATTATTGTTGGAGCAGGACTGACCAACTGCCTGGTTACACAATTTTAATTTATTCAAGGCCTGACTTTTACAAGAAAGAATCTTTTCCTCTAATTCATAATACTGATTTAATATGAAATCTATTTCAGTTCATCTACACAGTTTCCGATAAATCTCCTTTTCTATTTGTTGTATATTATGGATATGAATCATATCTATTCCCTAAAGCATCTAAATACAATTATAAATCATCAGTATTCACAAGTTTCCTTGATTCTTAATTCCAAGAACTTATATTATATGCCTTGGTTAACATGAACTTTTCTAGCCTGATTGATAGCTTTCTTTACTCTAATTCCATTGTTTGTTTCTATACTTAATTTCCTCATTTTAGCCATGATGCAATGTATTAAATTTCAACCCAATTATAACACTGACTCAACCTACCTGTTGAATAAATATACCCAGCTACTTGAGCTCAGTCAATTACATGTAAAAATTGTAATGTATAAATTTTCAATGTACATTAATCAAACTTGGCTCATCAAAATTAATATTATACAAATTAATAAATCCTTTCCAGAATTTGGCATAGCAAAATTATTATTATACACAATATAATCTTTGATCAACACTTGTCTTTCAATTACACATACATTGATATAAATATTGGCCAGAATTGTCTTATCAAATTAGTATATACAAATAAATATACACTTAAGCCAGACTTGAGCTTTGCTTATCAAAATTAATATTGTATTGATTAAAATCACTACACATTAAGAAAAGCTGTTTGTGAACTTAACATCCCACCTCCTTCTGTCAGTTCACATATAATTATTAAGTAATTAAACTAATTAATGACTTTCTATTTACCTCCGCGTCCCAAAGAAGGACCAACAGGCTAATTAAAGTGGAAAAATTACATTTATCTGAATGTAACCTAATTTATGTACATAACAGTAAATGATAACAAAGATAATTATTATTTATCAATGTTACATAGTAAAGTTGGAATTTGGGACACTTGGTTGCAAAAAATGTCCCCCTCGATACATACCACTGTCATAACCAAAAGTTGCTCTGAACCTATTAATTAAATGAAATATACATACACCGGGAATGCTGGTAAATATATAAATTTGTGGACTGTATATTAAAAATAAATGTTTATATATATACACAATTATACAACAGAAGGAAAATATATCTTAACATCACTCACCAATTTGACTGGAGATTAATGTGTATCATACTCAGAAAACCTCACTCTAACTAAATCTATGAAAATAATGCTGGCCAAATATTTACACACAAATCTAGAGAGCTGAGGTTTCTGGAGCTGTCTTGTCCAGTCGTCTGATATCTCAAGTTATGCAGGAATGCACATCCACCACTTGTACTCGTTGGAATGCAGGAGGGAGAGATATATCATAATCTACACTTGGAAAATCTTGGAAGGAATGGTCCAAAATCTGCACACAGAAATCACTCCCTACGAAAGTAAAAGACTGGGCAGGCGATGCAAAATGCCCCCAATAAAAAGTAGGGGCGCCATTGGTACACTAAGGGAAAACACCATAAGTGTCCAGGGCCCAAATGTTCAACTGCCTCCATCAAGCATTAGGGGAAGTGCAATAAACCCCTGGGCTGCTTCAAGAGAGAGTGGACAGATACTAAAGTCAGGTGCCGGATCAGCCGGGCTGTGGCTCGTACGTTGGACTGCGTGCAGCCAGCAGTAACAGCCTAGTTGATCAGGCCCTGATTCATCGGGAGGCCTGGTCACGGACCGGGCTGCAGGGGCGTTGATCTCCGGAATAATCTCCAGGTAACCTCCAGGTAACCACCAATTTCGCCTCCTATTTGAGAGGTGTCAACACAATTTTAACCTCTAGATCTAGAGCATGAAAAATTCTTCCCATTACACCAACGTTTGTACAAAATTCAAAAACCATGATGGCGAGTGTCTTCTTTTTTTCGATAACATACTTCTTTTAAAAATACAATATAAGGCATCTATTTACCTATAAATTGCCGTATTTCCGGAAAATATATACAGTATTTTCCACACTAACAGGGCCTACAACCTTGAGCCCACAATCCAGTCATGACCCAGCAGCCCACACCCACGACTTCACAGATCACACCCATGTTGTGGGTGGTACTTAATATTACAGAGGCAAATAATAGCTTAACGTTGTAAATGTCATATAGAACAGGGGGTAACATCACAATACACAAAATCCTACCGGAAATGCCTCGCATAATTTTAGCCTTTACCGACCACACACATACAAACTGCAAACCTATAATTCCATTAAATATAATGTAATTTAAAAAAATATATATTGCATTTATCTACTTCATTTCTATTCATATAAACATTTCTAGTTATCCATATAACACCGTTTAATGCTGGAGGATAGGAGATAAAGACGCATTAATAAATTATTCATGTATTAATCTAATAATTTTATTGTTTATTCAGTACATTCAAAGCAGTTTATTTAACTAAATTTTATTACAAATTCCAACAACGTTTGGTATTTTATATTTCATCCTTGCATATAATAATAGCATAAAGTAAGCTCGTTACTCCACAGAGGACGCCATTTTCGTTGCAGAGCAGCAGTGAGTGCTTGGCCTAGCTCAAGGTGTTCTTTTTTTTACCCACATACAGGTAAAAAAGTCACCTCATTTTTAATTAGAATTAGTCCATTAGGTTTCACACCTTCGATCGGCAGATGAATGGAGCCTGAAATGACGTTGAGAGTAATCTGAGGTGTGAATTCTCTTAGGGGTTCAGTAACTTCAGACAGCCATTATGGGGCCCAAAATATGGAACTACCTATCAGAAACCAGAAAATATTACACAGTTATGTTAATATGCTTGAATAGATGGTGAGAGAAGGACGCAACGCTACCAGGCTCTTATATAGTGCCTTGTGGATCATGTCCTTATTAACGAGGATACACCGAGAGGTGTGTATAATACCTTGATCAAAGATATTTTACTCTGATATAAAGCCCCTCAAGGGAGGCTCCTTGACGCTGGTGAGGGGCTCTTGATCTAGGGAATTGTATCTGTGCTCCAGTTCCCTGAATTGAGCCTGAATACCTTCCATGCCCCCCACGTGCTGTATAATCCTACGGGTTTAGCACTCCCCCATGATTATAATAATTTGATGTAATGCACTGGACCCGTAATCTTAGGATTACCAGTTCATGGGCACGAATCTTGGCATTAGATTTCATTGACCTCGATAGATAAATCGCATTGTTTGACTTCATATAATGTACTTTGTGTAAGACATGTGCAACAGTTTGGTAGTATGAACGATATGCTAGTCGGTGTTCTGAACTATTTATGTAATAGGTTTGGTATATATTGCCGAGATATTTCGCCTGCTCAGCAGGCTACTTCAATCAAAAACAGAGTTGATTTAAATACTGTAGATAACAAAAGTAGATTGTAATAACCTTGGATAACCCCAAAAAAAATCAGACAATAACTCACTTTGACTTTTGGGTTATCCTAGGTAATGTACACATGCTGCTATGTATGATGATGATAAGAAATTAATAATTTAATATAATATATTTAATACAAGTACATGTACATGGTATACAGGCCTAGCTGACATCAGTGACATACTACTATATAGAGAGCCACTTGTTATGCAGAGCATTACCCCTCAAGGAAGGTTCCTTGATGTTGGTGAGGGGCTCTTGATTTAGGGAATTGGATCTGTGCTCCAGTTCCCCGAATTAAGCCTGAATGCCTTCCACATCCCCCCCCAGGCGCTGTATAATCCTCCGGGTTTAGCGCTTCCCCCTTGATTATAATAATAATAATATGCAGAGCATTCCTTGTGGCTTAGCACTTCTTTTTGATTATAATAATAATAATATGCAGAGCATTTCGAGCAAATTAGGTCAGTTTTGTCCTAGGATGCAACCCACACCGGTCAACTAACTCCCAGGTACCCATTTTACTTACGGGTGAACATAGACAACTGGTGTAAAGAAAGATGCCCAATGTTTCTACCCTTGCTAGGAATCGAACCTAGATGCTCGCCGTGTGAAGGGAGAGCTTTAGCCACCAGGCTGTACCTGAATAAAAACTTACTTATCAGTACTTCAGCCTTGATAAGTGTTCAGTTCTAGAGCTTCATTGAATTAATGGAGGCTTAAAAAAAAAAGTCAATATAAATAATAGCCTGCACTTAGAAAAGGAAGGAATCTAAGTGCTGGTTATTTGTGAAGCTGGTGACTACTAGTCACCATTTTGTATTGCTTATACTGTTGTATTAAGGGTATACAATGTCTAAAAGTAAATATCACAATTGAAATCTCAGCATTGAGAAAATCCAATGGGTCAGTTGCTTGCACTCTGCATGTACCTGACAAATGCAAAGATGCATAGTATGCCCTAACTCTAGTTGCAATATTAACTATAAATTGGTACAATTAATTGTTTTTTCTTATGTCTATTGATTGTTTTATTTTTAGGTTCAAAGAACTCTTATAATTGTTGAGGTTTAGTACTACTCGAGACATGGAAATAGTCACGTTGTTTGACTTTATTAGGTTATCCTAGGTTAAAGCTACGTACTTATGATTTTTGGCTGAATTTTGCTCTTAGTATCATGCAACTTTAGTAAATTTAAAAAATAAGGCATTTTCCTGCCATTTGTATGCCTTTTGCTGGTGGGAAGACTGTTGACAGCAAAACAGGTCCTGATCATTTACACCTGCTATGGGGCCTATTACTGATAACACTCTAGGTCTACCCATATAATGTGCAGTTTTTTACCTTGGCTGAATGCAGCAAATCTGAAGGTACTGTAGAAAAAAATTAGGCATATAACATACATCAGTCTTGTTCCCCAAAGTAGGGTGTGTCATTCACAGTTTAAGGGTTAAGGACCACTCTTCATATCTATGTAAAAGTGTCACTACAACTAAGTTGATATATTCTCATTTTTCATCCACAGACAAAATACTGCTCTTGAAATGCTGTTCATTGCAGTTTATCTTTTCTAATTTGTTCTATGAGTTATCACACACTTTATGGACTTGTGTGTTGATGCTGTACATCTGAATCAAAACGCAAATGTATTCTGTTCCTCCCCTTCATTCTGATTCTTCAAATTCATCAGAATTTAAAAATGAGTTTTTGCCTCATTTATTGTCATAAGATTTTGTTTGGATTTTTAACCCCAGAGGGTTATCCACCCAGGATAACCCATTTGGGTCCTCAGTCTTGTCCCCCAGGATGCGACTAACACCCTGGTACCTACTCACTTGCTAGGTGAATGGGAACAACAGGTGTAAGGAAACACGCCCAGTGTTTCCACCCTTGCTGGGGATCGAACCATGGGAACTCGGTGTGTGAAATGAGAGCATTGCCTACCAGGTCATGGGTAACCATAACGGCAAGAGGGAAGCAGTTGACTCAGGGCTCCTAAGTATGAGGGCATGCCAAGTCTCCACTTTGTGTACAAAATTCACTTTAATGGAACAAAAATGTTATTCTTATAATAAAATTGTATAAGTTATTATACTGAACATCATTTTAAGCTAGTACATATAGATTTCAAAATATAATTGTTACATAAATTGTATGTATGTGTTGCTCAAGGAGCTGCTCTTAATTTGCCTGCCTTTTGGGCAAATGAGAAGTTTATTATTTTGAATAGGCCTCATTTAGCATATGCTAGAGAATGTATGTAAGTAAATAAGTAAGTTATTCAGGTACAGGTAAACTTGCTTACATTCTCTAGCATGTTCTAAATGGGGCCTATTCAAAATAATAAACTTCTCATTTGCTCAAAAGGCAAGCAAATAAAGAGCAGCTCCTTGAGCAACACACACAAATTTATGTAACATTTATATTATGAATATTATTAGTAGTGTATATTACATATACAAGAACTGCAATCCCATGTTATCAGTACAGTGGACCCTCGACCAACGATGGCATCATATAACGTTAAATCCGACTAGCGATACATTTTAACGCAAAAATTTTGCCTCGACTAGTGCTAAAAAACTCGACCAACGCGATTCGTTCCGTTCGAGACGCGTCCACGTGTGGCCTGTGCAGTGTTTACAAGCCAGCCACCGCGGTCGCATCCAAAATACAATCAGAACATTTCATATTATCACAGCGTTTTTAGTGATTGCACCTGCAAAATAAGTCACCATGGGCCCCAAGAAAGCTTCTAGTGCCATCCCTGTGATAAAAAGGGTGAGAATTAGTATGGAAATTAAAAAAAGATTTTGAAGGGTTTGGGGCTAACCCAGTTGTGGAATCCATTGTGCCTACTTCAAAGATTAAGTATGTGTGTGCAAAGTGGGTTGAACTGCAAACCTTTGTGGATGAAAATCGCCCTAACACAGCTATTGCAAGCCGTGCTGGTGACTATTACAATGACAATGTTGTGGCCCATTTTAGACAAATCGTAAAGGAACGGGAGGTACAGAGCTCTATGGACTGAGACAGAGGTCCAGTGACTCTCAAGCTGGTCCTAGTGGCATTAAATGAAGAAGGGAAGTAACCCCGGAAAAGGACTAGACACCTCAAGTCCTAATGGAAGGGGATTCCCCTTCTAAACACTAACACCATCCACACACACCCCTCCTCCAATCCCATCAATCATCACCAGATCTTCAATAAAGGTAAGTGTCATGTAATTGTACATGTCTTCTTCAGTTTGTGTGTATTAAAATTAATATTTCATGTGGTAGAATTTTTTTTTTCAATACTTTGGGGTGTCAGGAACGGATTAATTTGATTTCTATTATTTCTTATGGGGAAAATTAACTCGACTAACGATAATTTCGACTAACGATGAGCTCTCAGGAATGGATTAATATCGTTGGTCGAGGGTCCACTGTATTTGAGTAACATTAATTGTAATAAATTGCATTATAAAAAGTGTGTGAATGTCTTGTGAATAATATTAAATTCAGTCTAGATGCAGATTAGCCAAATCTACTAATATTTGTTAGAGATTTTGCACATTTAACCCTTTCAAGATTGGTGCCGTACTAGTACGGCTTACACACCAGGGTTGGTGCCATACTAGTACGGCTTACACACCAGGGTTGGTGCCGTACTAGTACGCATTAATTCTAGCATCTTCAAATCTAGCGAGAGAAAGCTGGTAGGCCTACATATGAAAGAATGGGTCTATGTGGTCAGTGTGCGCAGTATAAAAAAAAATCCTGCAGCACACAGTGCATAATGAGAAAAAAAAACTCCGTCTGTGTTTTCCGTTTAACCCTTTGACTGTATGGTCGTATATATACGTCTTACGAGCCACTGTTTTTGACGTATATATACTCATAAATTCTAGCAGCTTCAAATCAAGCAGGAGAAAGCTGGTAGGCCCACATGTGAGAGAATGGGTCTGTGTGGTCAGTGTGCACCATATAAAAAAATTCTGCAGCACGCAGTGCATAATGAGAAAAAAAACCTCCGACCGTTTATTTTTTTTTTAAATTAAAATGCTGACTTTGTGGCCAATTTTCGTATAGTATTTATGGTTGTATTCTCGTTGTCTTGGTCTCGTGTGATAGAATGGAAAACATATTATAGAAATAGAGGTGATTTTGATTGGTTTTACTATGAAAAGAACCTTGAAATAGAGCTCAAAGTAGGGGAAATGTTTGATTTTTGCCGATGTTCAAAAGTAAACAAATGTCATTTTCCAGTGAATGTCCAAGTAACCATTCTAGTATACAGTCATGAATGGGTTAACATTATTTATGCAATTATTACAATATTGTAGTAGTCTGCATAACAGTAAATCTTCTATTTTTTGTTGGAATAAAAATTCAAAATAGAAAGCAAGAGTAATATCAGATGGGCCTGGAGACGTGACCGATGAACAAAAAAAATGTTATTTTAGAGCCAGGAATGTCTGCATTGTTCATTCTGGACCCTATTTTGAAATTGTCATATATTTTAATTTTCGTGAAATTGGCCAAATTGCAAATTTCTGACCACATTATTGGGTAGTTGAAATCGGTAAATGGGCAGTTTCTTGTACTCAATCGATAGAAAAAATGGAGTTCTAAAGAAATAGCTATGAGTTTGGTCGACTGGAATAATGGAATTAGCCGAAAATAGGGCTCCAAGTGGGCAAAATAGCCGATTTGTAAATATAGCTGAGGTCGCTAACTTTGCGAGAGCGTAATTCCGTCAGTTTTCCATCAAATTTCCTTCTTTTGGTGTCATTACAATCGGGAAAAGATTCTCTATCATTTCATTATTTTTTTTTTTTTTCAACAAACCGGCCGTATCCCACCAAGGCAGGGTGGCCCAAAAAGAAAAAACGAAAGTTTCTCTTTTTAAATTTAGTAATTTATACGGGAGAAGGGGTTACTAGCCCCTTGCTCCTGGCATTTTAGTTGCCTCTTACAACACGCATGGCTTACGGAGGAAGAATTCTGTTCCACTTCCCCATGGAGATAAGAGGAAATAAACAACAACAAGAACTAGAAAGAAAATAGAAGAAAACCCAGAGGGATGTGTATATATACATATATATGCTTGTACATGCATGTGTAGTGTGACCTAAGTGTAAGTAGAAGTAGCAAGACGTACCTGAAATCTTGCACGTTTATGAGACAGAAAAAAAGGACACCAGCAATCCTACCATCATGTAAAACAATTACAGGCTTTCGTTTTACACTCACTTGGCAGGACGGTAGTACCTCCCTGGGCGGTTGCTGTTTACCAACCTACTACCTATTTTTTTGTTTTTTGTGACACCAGGAGACACCTCAGGATTTTGGGTTGCGACAGTCAAAGGGTTAAAACAGTGACTTTGCAGTGTATTTTCGTATGCTATTTATGGTTGTATTCAAATTTTCCTGGTCTCATTTTATAGAATGGAAGACATATTTCGGAAATTGAGATGATTTTGATTGGTTTCACAATGAAAAGTACCTTGAAATTGAGCTCAAAGTAGCAGAAATGTTCGATTTTTGCCAAAGTTCAAAGGTAAACAAATCATGCCATGCGTCCAATACATGTCAACTGGTCAGTGTAATATTCTTTCACAAGTGCGCTGATATTATTTATACCATTTCTACACTAATGCAGTAGTCTGCATAACATAAATCTGTTTTTTTGTGAGAATAAAAATTCAAAGTGGAAAGCAAAAGAAATTTAACAGAGGCCTTGGGACACGAGTAATGAACAGAGAAAATGTTATTTTAGTGCCAGGAATGTCTCTCTTGTTTATTGTGGACCCTATTTGGAAATTGGCATCTTTCGAAAAATGTTTGAAATTGGCAAAATTGCTAATTTCTGACCACTTATTGGATAGTTGAAATTGGTAAATGGGTGGTTTCTTGTACTCATTTGATAGAAAAATTAGTTCTAGTGAAATAGGTATGATTTTTGTCGACTGGTGCATTGGAATTGGCCGAAAATTGGGCTCAAAGTGGGCGAAATTGCTGATGTGTAAACATAGTCGAGATCACTAACTTTGCGAGAGCACAATTCCGTAAATTTTCCATCTAATTTCATACTTTTGGTGTCATGATCGGGAAGAGATTATTATTTCATAAGAAATTTTTTTTTTTCTGAAAAATTTCCGACCCTGAGAACAAGTTTAGGAGAGGGTCTGCCGACCCTGAAAGGGTTAATGAGTTACCTTGTAACAGTTTTGTTTATATTCATAATTGATGATTACAGAATTTTATAATGATAATGCATTTGCTTTGGGTTAGATTATCCTTGTTTAACCCTTTGAGGGTCCGTCCCGTAGATCTACGGCTTTACGTTCAGGGTCCAAACCGTAGATCTACGTCATGAGCTCAGCTCACTCTGATCAACTGTGAGTGGTACATTTGGGCCTAGATATGAGAGAATACATCTATGTGGTATGTGTGCACCACATAAAACAGATCCTGCAGCACGCTGTATATAATGAGAGAAAAAACTGAAATCATGATTTTTCGATTAAAACAGCGACTTTGCAGTGTTTTTTCGTATGTTTTTTATAGTTGTATTTGCGATTTCTTGATCTCATTTGATAGAATGGAAGACATATTACAGAAATAAAGATGATTTTGATTGGTTTTAGCACTGGAAATGGCTTGAAACTGAGCTCAAAGTAGCAGAAATGTTAAATTTTTGCCGATATTCAAGAGTAAACAAACGACCTCACACGTCTAATACACGCGAGCTGGTGGGTCTAATATGCATTCACAAATATGGTGATGATATTTATACAATTATTACAGTATTGCATAACAGTAAATCTTCTATTTTTTGGTGTGAATAAAAATTCATTATGTGAATAAAAAATCAAAATGGAATTTATTTGTAAAGCCTCAAAATGTAACTAATGAACAGAGTAAATGTTAGTTTAGTTCCAGGAATACCTACATTGTTTATTCTGGACCCTATTTTGAAATTGGAATATTTTGAACTTTGTGTAAAATTGGCCAAATTAACAATTTCTGATCACTTTAATTTGTAGTTGAAACAGTTGACTTGGCAATTTCTTGTGCTCAATCGATAGAATAGAAGTAATACTAGTGAAATAGCTAAGAATTTGGTTGACTGGAATAATGTAATTGGCCTAAAATGGGAGTCAGTCGGCAAAATCGCCGATTCGTAAATATCGCTGACACATCAAAATTCGCGAGAGCATAATTTCGTCAATTTTCCATCAAATTTCGTACTTTTTGTTTTATTACCTTCACAAAAAGATTCTCTACCATTTCACAAGAAAAAATAATTTTTTTTTTTTTGAAAATTCTTGGACACTGGGGCACCACTTCAGATTTGGGCCTTGGACCCTGAAGGGGGTTAATATAGTTTAGCTTTGATGTCAATGCTGTGTTTCTTAAGACACTAAATTTAATGAGTTGCTAAGGACTATTTTTTTTTTCCTTTTGCAGAACGTATCAAATAATGGATACACATCCTGAACTGGAGATGCCAGGGTCTCCTCTTCTCAGTGAAATGATCAGAGAGGAGATATTGGATGGGGAGTTCACGGAACCTTTATCTGATGACACTGAGGTAAGCATAAATTATGATTAAGAGGCTTGATGAACAACATGCTTCTCTCATTTTTTTTTGTCTGCTACAGATATTAAGGTTGTTCACTGTAACTATTGAGCCTTGTATAAGTGTGCTGTTATAAATTGACTATATAGATAATGGATAACCGTTGTTTTGCAGGTTTTTGAAACACCCAATTTTCAGGGAAAGGAAGAGGAGGAGGTGGGGGAGGATGGTGGCGAGGTGAATATGCTGAAACGCCCAACAAGTCCTTGTCCTTCGGAAGATGAACCAGCTTCAAAAAAACGCTCTAATGAGGTGGACAAACTATGGAAAAATGTGCATGATAATCCAAATGATTTCCAAGCATGGACATTATTACTACAGCATATTGATCAAGTGGTAAGTAGAGTAGTTTGCCTTGAATAAGTAACTATACTTGAAAGTGCATGAATGGTTTGTGATGGGGAGGGGGGTTTGAAAAAAAAAAAAGTTCTCATTAGCAGACACTCAAGAGAGGCAAACAGATGGTTATTAATTACAAAATTGGTATTCACTTTGATTCAGTTTGCCAGATTTTATTTTTGCACAAGTTTCTTTGGAGGAAATACATATCTCAGCTTATCCTCATTGTTGTCTTCTCAGATATCTTGTTTTCCTCATTGTCTTGTCTTTATTATCTTCCTTGTTTGTTGTCTCCTCTGTTGTTTTTTCGTTGTCATCTTCTCTTCATTGCTTTCTTGGCTTCATTGCTGCTTTGACCTTGTTTTGTTTAATCTTGTAATGTTAATAGTTATTTTGTCTTCCCTGTTGTTGTCTTTGTTAATCTGTGTCTAGCATTAGGAATAATATTAGAAGGTGTAAAATGAAACTGAATGTTATAATAACAAAAAGGTACAATACCATGACTGGAACAATATACAAATAATCCACACATAGGAGAGAGGAGCTTACAATGGCATTTTGGTCCGATTTGGACCATTTACAAAGTCACAACACACAAATAACCCACACATAGGAGAGAGGAGCTTACGATGATGTTTCAGTCCAAGTTGGACCGAAATGTTGTCGTAAGGTCCTCTCTCCTATGTGCGGGTTATTTGTGTACTGAATGTTAAAGGAATGCAGTTAGAAGCCTGAGTAGATCTATAACCCACTATAACATGAACATAGATAAAGATAAGTATGTTTATGGACCAACTTGTAACAAACTTACTGATGTTGTAGTGGTCAGGTTTAGGCTTGGTTTCAAGTACTTCTGGCAGTTTGGCATACAGATGATCAAACCAGATGCAAAGTATGTGGGCAGTCCTATGGTAACTGTGTGCATAATTGTCCACTTATTGAGAGATGTAGAGATAGTATAATAACCTCTGTGATATGTCAAGATATCTTATTAATGAAAATAAGACACCAGACATATTAAGCTATTTCCTAAATTTGCTTGTAACAGATAAGTGAACTATAGATATAAATTCAGCTGTACCCCTGTAAACCCTTTAGGGGCCTAGGTCCTAGGCCTTTTGTGTATCCATATGATCTTGTGCTACCATCCACAGGATGGATATGGGGGTCATAAGAAATTTGCTGCTTTGGCAGCAGTATCTAAATCGACCAACTGGCCATTACCAATTAATGAATAGATACAGCAAGTGTGCCCCTTTCTAGTTTTTCAGCCTTTGTTATACTTTCGTCTCAGTTCACAAAAAAGTGTGCAAATTGAACCAGCCTGCACTCTTTTACCTTAGCTAACATGAAAACCTAAATACTGTACCATCAAGTGATCAGCATGGCAGTAGTGCAAAGGCCAAGAGGAAGAACATTACTCCAAACACCAAAGAGGTGTCTGGTGTAATGTGTGTTGATGCTGATGAAAATCTGTGACATTGCAAAACATTTTGGCCTGGCTAGGTCACTGGCATACACCAGTTGCAGAAAGTGCTGAATGTGCGAAATCCTACTTACTCTTGGATAAAATAAGTTATTACATGATATGGAGAGGCATCTCAGTGTGTGGACTGAGGACCAGACAGAGGAAAACATATCATTAAGCACTTCTTGATCTAACTGGACTGTGCTCATCGTTTCTGCATTAGATTGCATACTGCTGGTACCAGGAGACCTGGTCTAAGACCAGACTTGGGGCCAATGGTTCCTGGAACCATCCAACCAGGTAGGTAGGCCTAATGCCTGCAACTTGGCTAGGTAACTCAAAATTGTTGTGATACGATTGTGCACAAATCACGGAAAGGAGGGTGGATAGAGCATTGGCCTGCTAGTTTTAGGACTAACTAACCATGGATGTGAACCCTCCATTCAGTGAGTTGACTATGTAAAGTTAATGCATTTTGAACTTGGTTTAGTTTGGAGTAAGTTAATAAATGTTTATGGTTAAAATCCCCAACTGGTATTGCTACTTCACAGCTAAATTTTTCAGTAATTTCTCTGCGAATTAAACATACTTATATTTTCCAGAGCGATTTGGAATCGGGCAGAGAAGCTTACGATGGGTTTTTTGAACGGTACCCCTACTGTTATGGCTACTGGAAGAAATATGCTGATTTAGAAAGGCGCAAAGGCACTAAGGAAACAACTTGCAAGGTGAGTCCATCTTCTAGCAACTGAAACATAATGATGTGATGTTAAAAATGAACACAGTTATAATTTGTTTCTCTTACAGTGATTTATTTTATGGTAGGTATTGCTATAGCCTTCTGAATCCAAACTACTGTAAATGATGGAAAACATCTGTAATGGAGGAAAATGTTTGCATGCTTGGGTTCAATGGGATATATGATATTTACCAATAAATTTATTAACCAAGTGCATATTTTATTTCAGAGAAAAATACAGAGAAAGGGTTTGTCTTGAATGTGTTTGGAATACAAATATTGCTTTTGTAGTCTTATAACTTCCTGCACATAAACTGTTTTCGTTTGTTATAAATTGATATATGTATTGGGTATATTTGTGACTGCTTTTACATGTGTAAAATGGAATAAAACAGAGCTGCAAACATTGTGTTGAGGATTGCTGCACTGTGTGAGAGAGGTTTTTTGTGCACTTAATTTACTCTTGGCGTTATCTGGCGAAGCGGCAGGGGTGTCGCGTCCCTCTCTCAATCAGTCATCTTGGTGTCTTCACGCAGAGTAGCGGTGCAGCGCCCCAGGGTAACAACAGTAGGTACTCCCTCAATATACCGGCCCTCACTACCCACTGGCACCACTATCAGGGTTCCTTGAGGTGCATCAGCAGTACAGATTCAGTGGGTGGGGGGTCACTAGAATATAACCTCTCTGTCTTGTAATCAAAATAAATTTTTTTTACCTTTTTTTTATTTTTTTTTTAATAAAATATCGTAAGATATGGGATAAGCATGGTATCAACTTCTGGTATATCTTATGGAACCCTGTTAAGTGCTTCTTGCCTATCCGTGTGGGACTTGGGTCAGATGATGAACTATATGCCAACACTCTGTTGAATTGATGATACATTTAGAAGGCATGACTTCCTGGTGTCTATAAACTCTGGTTGGGGATCTTGTAATCTTTTTTTTTTTTTTTTTTTTTTTTTATTGTAGCAAATTTTGCTATAAATTTTGAAGGTTGTCAAAGTGTAAGATATTTTTGTTTAGGGTTATGGATATACAGGATCCTCTTTATGGTGTCAGCAGAGTAGGCCAGAGAGTCAGTCATCAACTCACTGGTGATGGACACTTACCTTTCTGTTTGATGGCAACAGGTGTTTAATCGAGGGTTGGAAGCCATCCGGCTGAGTGTTGACCTGTGGCTCCATTACATGGAGTATATCACTTCTCAGTTTCCTGATAATGAAGCCTTCGTGCGTCAAGAATTTGAGAGAGCAGTGGACACCTGTGGTTTGGAATTCAAGTAAGTATGCTGTACATTATCGAAAATTACACAAAAACATATAAAGTTAAATGTGATGGATGAGCACATACAGTAAGCTTTGAAACCAGTTTGTATTCTTTTGGTAATTTGTGATATGGTAATACAGTACTGTTCATTTTTCCAGACTTCAGTAAAGGTCTTTGCATCTTAAGAGCTTTATAAGTATGTACATCCCAGTCCAGAGTTATTTCTCAAGGTTACTAAAGGTAATTATTGTTTTTCTTATTTAAAAATGTTGGGTAACCAAAAGTTTAAGAAAGTAATGTTTTTCATTCACAGTACTGTATTTTTTACCACAGTGGATCCTTGTGGGTTTAGCACTTAGTTATGATTGTAAAAATAATGCCATCATAGTGGATAGTATCACATTTGACTTTTTTTTTTTTTTTTTTTTTAACATTTTGGCTGTTACCCACCGAGGCAGGGCGCCCCAAAAAGAAAGAAAAAACTTTCATCATTCAACACTTTAACCATCACTCATACATAATCACTGTCCTTGTAGAGGCGTTCAGATACGACAGTGTAAATGTCTCTCCAAACTGCCAGTATCCTAAACCCTTCCTTTAAAGTGCAGGCATTGTACTTCCCATTTCTGGGATTCTAGTCCGGCTAACCAGTTTCCCTGAATCCCTTCACAAAATATTACCCTCCTCACACTCCAACAGCTCGTCAGGCCCCAAAAACTGTTCATTTCTATTCACTCCTATCTAACACGCTCACGCACGCTTGCTGGAAGTCATTTATAAGATAAAATTCATTAGCTAGCTCTTCTGATGACTTAAACTTTCTAGCTAGTAACCAGATATTAAATTTGTATTTATTTTCCTGCATCTAAAACTCCAGAAAGTTAGTATAAACAATCTTTTTGATGGTTGATTAGATTTGTTGTACAGTATGGTCCATTCCAGGCTTCAAGCTATGCTATTTAAGGCTTATTTAGGACACATGCTGTTTTCTGTGATACTTTTTGTGTCTTATATAGTAAATGGATTTTAGAAGATAGGCCTGAGACTTAGAACTAAGAATTATAGTTTAATTTTTTATCCGCTAAATTATTTTTTGTATTCTAAAAATCTTTCTTTGTTGCCATCTGATTAATTACTGAGGAAATAAAATGTTAATTTTTTAATTAGCAATGCTACCTGTAAATTGTTTAGGCCAGTACCATCTTGGTTTGCTATTGGTTGATCCTTTCTTGAAGTATTTGACTGCAAAAAATACAGACTTCTTCCTTATAGAAGGGCTATTGATAATGGGAATAAGCACAGTTTGTCATTTTTTTTTATTTGACCAAACTTTGAATTCCCATCAACTTCCTTGTAAGCTATTAATTATATTATGATTTCTGTAATGACAAGGAATTAGAGATATGAATTGTTATATGGTAATTGTGGGCATTGAATTGCATTTAATACTTTGTGAAAGAGCATATGAAAGGTTTTTACATAGCAGAGGTGATAGGGTGAGTATATGAAGAGTAAAAGAAAGATTAAGAGAGATGAGTTAGTGTAAAAGAAGAGCAAGCAAGTAATACTTAGGTGAGGTTCTATAAACAAATTTTGCTGAGAATAAGAAAAAGTTTTGAAGTGAGATTAATAGGTTGAGAAAGCCTAAGAAATGAAAGGATTTGACAGTTAAGAAAAGATGAGGGTAGTTATTAGATGGGGAGTTGGAGGTATTGGATAAATGGTGGGAGTATTTTGAGGGGGTTATATGTTGATGAAAAATGGGAAGCAGTGATTTCATGCATTGGCCAGGGAGGTATAACATCTTTTAGAATTGAAGAACCAAATGTAAGATTGGGGGAGGTGCATGAGGCAGTGGGTAAAATAAAAGGGGGTAAAACAGCTGGGATTGATGGGATCAACATATTTATATATTAAAAGCAGGTTGGTATTTTTGCTCGATAAATATGGTAAATATGGTAAATGCAGCAGCGAGGAGACGGTTGGAGGCAGTGGAGATGTCCTGTCTAAGGGTAATGTGTGGTGTAAATATTAAGCAGAAAATTCGGAGTGTGGAAATTAGGAGAAGGTGTGGAGTTAATAAAAACATTAGTCAGAGGGCAGAAGAGGGGTTTTTGAGGTGGCTTGGTCATTTAGAGGGAATGGATCAAAGTAGAATGACATGGAAAGCATATAAATCTATAGGGGAAGGAAGGAGGGGTAGGGGTCGTCCTCGAAAAGGTTGGAAAGAGGGGGTAAAGGAGGTTTTGTGGGCAAGGGGCTTGGACTTCCAGCAAGTGTGCATGAGCGTGTTAGATAGGAGTGAATGGAGACGAATGATACTTGGGACCTGACGATCTGTTGGAGTGTGAGCAGGGTAATATTTAGTGAAGGGATTCAGGGAAACCGGTTATTTTCATATAGTTGGACTTGAGTCCTGGAAATGGGAAGTACAATGCCTGCACTTTAAAGGAGGGGTTTGGGATATTGGCAGTTTGGAGGGATATGTTGTGTATCTTTATACGTATATGCTTCTAAACTGTTGTATTCTGAGCACCTCTGCAAAAGTAGTGATAATGTGTGAGTGTGGTGAAAGTGTTGAATGACGATGAAAGTATTTTCTTTTTGGGGATTTTCTTTCTTTTTTGGGTCACCCTGCCTCGGTGGGAGACGGCCGACTTGTTGAAAAAAAAAAAATATATGAAAGAGTGGAAGGTACCTAGGGATTGGCAGTGTGCATAGTTCCTTTGTAAATAGGAAAGGGGAACAAAAAAGAGAGTAAAATTTACAGGAAACTAAGCCTGTTGAGTATACCAGTTAGTGTATGATAGTTATTATTGAAAGAATTAAGGGGGAGATGGAGAGCAGGAATGTAGGTAAACAAGGAGGCTTTAGGAAGGGTAGGGGTGGGGATAAAGGTTTTGTGTTCGAGAGGCTTGGACATCCAGAAGTGGAGGCAAATGGTTTTTGGAATTTGTTGTGCATTGGGGTGTGAGTAAGGTGGTAATGCTTGCGATGAGATTCAGGGAAACAGGTTGGTTGGATGAGTCTTGTGGTGGGAAGTACAGTGCCTGCACTCGAAAGGAGGGATGGAGATATTTGCAGTTTGGAGGGGAATTCTGAACTGTAGTGTAGTGAGTGATGGTGAAAGCGTTGCTTCTTTTTTGGGGTAACCCTGCCTCAGTGAGAGATGGTCAGTGTTTAAAAAAAAAAATTAAAGTGAAAAAAAAAAAGTTTTGCAGACTAGGAAACTTAGTACAGTAGGGTCCCGCTTTACGGCATTCCACTAATACGGCGATTTCAAATTATGACCAAAATTTGCTATACGGCGAGCGGTCTTTCAAATATGGCATACCCCACCCGGTTTGTTTACATTCTCCGTGAGCACATCTATTATATCTGGAAATTTTCCAAAATTTCAAGTGTTTCAAAGTTATTGTATATTTTATTTATACTCTAATAATTATAATTATGTGCACCTGTATCTAAATGTACTTACACACTGTGCTGGCATTCAGGTACACATTAAAATCACTAAGTCTCTCTCTACTCTTGAAGACGCCATAATAATAATAATCTCTTGGGAACGTTAAATGTCATATATTACGTTAATATAGACTTAATATAGGGGCTTGGACTTCCAGCAAGCGTGCGTGAGCGTGTTAGATAGGAGTGAATGGAGACGAATGGTACTTGGGACCTGACGATCTGTTGGAGTGTGAGCAGGGTAATATTTAGTGAAGGGATTCAGGGAAACCGGTTATTTTCATATAGTTGGACTTGAGTCCTGGAAATGGGAAGTACAATGCCTGCACTTTAAAGGAGGGGTTTGGGATATTGGCAGTTTGGAGGGATATGTTGTGTATCTTTATATGTGTATGCTTCTAGACTGTTGTATTCTGAGCACCTCTGCAAAAACAGTGATAATGTGCAAGTGTGGTGAAAGTGTTGAATGATGATGAAAGTATTTTCTTTTTGGGGATTTTCTTTCTTTTTTGGGTCACCCTGCCTCGGTGGGAGACGGCCGACTTGTTGAAAAAAAAAAAAAAAATAGACATTTTCATTAAGCCATCAATGGTTTTTTTCAAAATTATATAATAAACACGCTATGTAACATATAAACATGATACATACACCCACAGTATAAAAATTGACACGAATGAGATTTGTTTACCAAGCGGTTGGTGGGAGGGTCGGAAGAACTGTTTTCTCTAGTCAGATGCCAGTAACTTAACTAGAAATTCATTCCTTTCATATGCCTTCACTCTATCTATAGCTATTTACGACCCTTATGGGTTTAGCGCTTCTTTTTTATTATGATTATAACAACTTGTAATAATAATAATTTGTAATAATAATTTGTGATAATAATAATTGTCAAAGCATCATTCCTTCTAAAAATTACATGAGAATGGAAGTGTTGTTCCTTTATTTATTCTTCTGTACCACTGTGGAGACAACTTGTAAACAATATAAGGTGTTTGTATGAATGTGTATGAAGCACAACCAGACGCTTTGTCTGTTTGTTTACATAGTAGGTAGGGTGGCCAGGCAGGCTACCCTACCCTACCTCCCACACGACTTTCTACAAATAAATACTTTTCACCTCTCACCCTACATTAAGACCATTAAGACTACAAATATTTTAAGGTAAGTAATGAGTGTACTGTATATACAGGAAGGCCCCACTTATACGGCGGGTTAGGTTCCAGGCTACCGCCGTAAAGCGGAAATCGCCGTAAAGTGGAACACCCTTTTTTTCCACTTATAAATGCATACAAACACTAGATAACAAGTTTACACTAACATATATTAAGTTAGCAATAGAACCAGGCATCAAAAAACAATAAAAAGGTACAATACACACATAGTGCACTCATTACTTACCTTAAAATATTTATAGTCTTAATCTAGGGTGAGACAAGTAGTATTTATTGTAAGAAATCAAGTGTGGTATGTATTGTAATAGCCAGGCTATCTTACCAGGCCACCCCACCCACACATACTGTTCTATGATATTTAAGCATCCCAGAGCGATAAAATGTATATACAGTTCACTCATTACTTACCTTAAAATATTTGTAGTCTTAATGTAGGGTCAGGAGTAAGTAAATGAGATAAAACGAATAAATGAGAGAGAGAAAGAATGAGTACATGAGGTAACAGAAGCAGAGTTATGTAAACAAACCAGGCTCCCACATCTTATATTTATGTTTATTTATTCTATTGTGGGGTGTATTTATCATCTTTTTATGTTATGTATCGTGTTTATTATATAATTTTGAAAAAAATATCATGGCTGGATTAATGAAAATGTGTATATTACCGTAATATACGACATTTAATGAGACTCCGTGACTATTGTTATTATCACCACTTGTGGAAGTCGTCTGCTACCACAGCTCACATTTATGTTTATTTATTCTACTGTGGGGTGTATTTATCTTATTTATATGTTATGCATCGTGTTTATTATATAATTTTGAAAAAAATATCATGGCTGGATTAATGAAAATGTGTATATTACCGTAATATACGACATTTAATGAGACTCCGTGACTATTGTTATTATGGCGTCACTTGTGGAAGTCGTCTGCTTCCACAGCTCACATTTATGTTTATTTATTCTACTGTGGGGTGTATTTATCTTATTTATATGTTATGCATCGTGTTTATTATATAATTTTGAAAAAAAATATCATGGCTGGATTAATGAAAATGTGTATATTACCGTAATATACAACATTTAATGAGACTCAGTATTGTTATTATCACCACTTGTGCAAGTCGTCTGCTCACATCTCACATTTGTTTATTTATTCTACTGTGGGGTGTATTTATCTTATTTATATGTTATGCATCGTGTTTATTATATAATTTTGAAAAAAATATCATGGATGGATTAATGAAAATGTGTATATTACCGTAATATACGACATTTAATGAGACTCAGTATTGTTATTATCACCACTTGTGCAAGTCGTCTGCTCACATCTCACATTTGTTTATTTATTCTACTGTGGGGTGTATTTATCTTATTTATATGTTATGCATCTTGTTTATTATATAATTTTGAAAAAAATATCATGGATGGATTAATGAAAATGTGTATATTAACGTAATATACGACATTTAAATGACTCGATGTATGTAAGTTTATTTAGGTACAGGTATACATAAGTATAATTATCAGAGTATATATAAAATATGAAATAACTTTTAAAAACATTTGAAATTTTGGAGTTTCCAGACAAAATGGAGAGACTTAGTGCTTACTGAGCTCATGGAGAATGTAAACAAACAGGGTGGGGCACGGTGACCGTATTAGAAAGTCAGGTGGGGGGAGCCGTAGTGAGTTTTGGTCATAATTTGAAATGTCCGTATTAGCGGAACGCCGTAAAGTGAAACGCCGTAAAGCGGGGCCTTCCTGTACTACATTTTATCACTCTAGGGCACTCTAAGCATCATAGTATATTATGGGTGGGTGGGGTGGCCAGGAGGGCTACCACACCTGACTTCTTACAGTAAATACTACTCACCTTTTGCCCTGCATTAAGACTGCAAATATTTTTGAGGCAAATAATGAGTGTACTGTGTGTGTATTTTACTTTTTATTGTTTTTTAATACCTAGTTGCTAACCTAATATGTGATAGTGTACAATTGTTATTTGGCATTTATATGCATTTATAAATGGAAAAAATGGTGTTCTGCTTTCCAGCAGTAGCCTGGAACCTAACTTGCTGTACAAGTGGGCCCTACTGTATAGAGTAGATTCAAGTTTGTGATCAAAAATTGATTAGTAGAAAGAAGCAGGTCTGAGAGTTGGATCTCATCCCATGCAAATTCAAATAAAAACAATGCAGGCAAATTTAATGTGAAGGCTGAAGTTTGACTGTGTGATATCTTGCTTTAAGGATATCTACAATACAGCATGTTTGTGGGTAATACATTCATTCTTTTATATCTTAGTATAATAGCTTTTGTACATTAGAGAATAATGATTTTGGATTACTCTCAGGGCAGCTGTTTGGCATAATTTTGAAAGTAGTAGTATTTCATATGGAATATGGGTAGGGGTGCTAGAATTGGAAGAATGCTGTACAGGAAGCAGTTTAATGAATTTCGATGTAAGACTTCAAAAATACAGAACAGAATCCATTGAGTGAGTTGATTTGGAAAAAATAAACAAGGTCCATTGGGTAAAGAATTTTCCATGCTTGTGATTAATTATTTTTCTCTCTGATCAAACTAGACTAGAACCAGTTAGAGTAATGTAATTGGTAAATAATAGTCATAAAAGTAAAAAAAATTTTCCCCAACACACTGGCTGTCTTCCACCGAGGCAGGGTGATCCAAGAAAGAAAGAAAGAAGCACTTTCACCATCATTCACACATAATGACCGTCTTTGCAGAGGCATGCAGATATGAAAGTTCAGACTTACTCCAAATAACAAATTTTCCAAACCCCTCCTTTGAAGTGTAGACATTGTACTTCCCACCTCCAGGACTCAAGCCTGGCTAACCAGTTTCCCTAAATTCCTTCACAAAATATTACCCTGTTCACACTCCAACAGTTCTTTAAAGCCCCAAAAACTATTCATCTCTACTCATTCCTATCTAACATGCTCACACATGCCTGCTGTATGTCCAAGCCCCTTGCAAACAAAACCTCTTTTACCCCCTCCCTCCATAAAGTTAAATATTAAACAATTTATTTCATTTATTCCCTTTATTCTGTGAAAGACAAGGTGAATCATAGAATTGATGACAGTAAAAAAAGTAGTAGTGCACTGAGGAGTCTGTGGAGACAAAGAACGTTATCCATGGAAGCAAAGATGGGAATGTATGAGAGTATAGTGGTACCAGTGCTCTTATATGGGTGTGAAGCATGGGTGGTGAATGTTGCAACAAGGACAAGGCTTGACACAGTGGAGATGTCGTGTCTGAGGGCTGTGTGTGATGTGAATATGCAGAGAATCCCTAGCTTGGAGATAAGGAGGGGCGGTGTTTCTAAAAGTATTATCCAGAGGGCTGAGGAGGGATTGTTTAGGTGGTTTGGACATTTAGACAGAATGGAGCAAAATAGAATGACTTGGAGGGAGTATAAATTTGTAATAGAAAGAAGGTGAGGCAGGGGTCATCCTAGGAAAAGTTAGGAGGGAGTGAGTAAAGGAGGTTTTTGTGTGCGAGGAGTTCAGACTTCCAGCAAGCATGCATGAACATGTTAGATAGGAGCGAGTGGAGGAAAGTGGTTTTTGTAATTTGATTTGCTGTTGGAGTGTGAGCAAAGTAACATTTATGAAGGGATTAAGGGAAACCCTTTAGCTGGACTTAGAGTCCTGGAGGTGGTAAGTACAATGCTTGTGCTCTGGAGGGGTGGAGATATGTTGCAGTTTTTGAACTGTAGTGTAGGCATGCCTCTGGCAAGACAGCGATGGAATGAGTGATGCTAAAAGTGTTCCTTCTCTTTCGGGTCACCTTGCCTCAGTGGAAAACGGCTGTTGTGTTAAATAAAAAAAAATATGGAAAGTCCTCAATTATGCAGAGCATTTCTTGTATCAGTGTTGGAGCACTAATCGATCAGTAGCAGCCATAAAAGTAGTTTAAGTACTATTTAAAAAAAAAAAACATCCTAGAAGCCCACTTTATTGCTGCTTTGTGAACTCTGTAATTCTTCATGAGAGGGTCAAGATGTTTATAAGATGTATTACAAATGTCTTATTCTGTTTTTTTCAGGTCAGACAAATTGTGGGAAGCTTATATTGCCTGGGAAAGTACTGGCAAGAGATGGAAGAATGTAACACTCCTGTATGAAAGGATTTTAGCAACTCCAACAAGTAAATATATGCAACATTGGCAGAAGTAAGTAGTTTTTTAGTATGAATTTAATTACACTTCGACAGTGAGTTTTAAATAGTCCATCTGTGTCCTGTGTTTGTAGTGTAGTGACTTTCATTACAGTCACTAAATTATCAAGCTGATTTTTTCCTCCAAGGTTGCACTGTAGCTTGGTTCTTGTATCCCTCCTATTGTTTGAGTGGACTTGTTCCTGCCTGTAGTCTTATGTTAATATCTGAGCTTAGACCCCATGGCTTAAACTGTCTCATTGATTATAACTTGTTTAATTTCATTTTCTTCAATTTCAATAAAGGTTTTAATACAGTATTCTCATCAATATCCATGGCAGTCTTATTGATTATGAACTTATAAAAGGGATATTATAGGGCAGATAGGAGAGCAGTGTAGCATATGTTGCGAATGTATGGAATAGGTGGTAGGTTACTAAAGGTATGTAGGAAAGAGGGAGGGAGTAATTATTTCTTGGCAAAACTAGGACTGGGATGCATAATATCACCATGGTTGTTTAATGTGTGTTTTGGAGATTCTAAAGATAAGCTGCAAATGTTAGTGGGTGAATTTGGGAGGACTTGTAAAAGAAGGAAATTAAAAGTAAACATAGTAAAGCTCAAGTTGATGAGAGTAACAAAAAGTCTAGGTAAACAAAGATTGAACAAGAGATTTGATGGATGGAGCATGGAGGAATTGAATGTTGATGAGAGTAACAAAAAGTCTAGGTAAACAAAGATTGAACAAGAGATTTGATGGATGGAGCATGGAGGAATTGAATGTATTTAGGCTTAGAATTTTAACCCTTTGTGTCCAATGTACTAGTACACAAATGCTCACAGTGTGTCCTACATATTAGTACGTACACATAATTTTTCATACAACTCTTTGGATCTCCTTCCATTTATTCATTCATTTGAAAAATCTAAGGCCAGCAGGGTGCACACAGTGCATCATGGCTAACTGCTCAAGGGATAACTATCCAATGTACTAGTACTTCTCACTGGCAAATGTAAACAATTGAATCAGGAGTATTAATAAATAGAGTAAAGTCTGAGTCAGCTACAGTGAAAAGGTCTGTTCCACAAGGCACAGTACTTCCTCCCATCCTGTAACTCATCCTCACATCTGACAGAGATATAAGCCACAGAACCATGTCTTCCTCTGCGGAGGACACCGAATTTGCTTGACAACGTCATCCATCAAAGACACTATAAGACTCCAAGCAGACATCAACCAAATCTTTACGTGGACTGCAGAAAACAATATGAAGTTCAATGAAAAGGAATTTCAGTTACTCTTATATGGAGAACATGAGGAAATTAAAACTGTATCAAAGTATAAAACAAATTCCAACCACACAATAGAGTGAAAACTAATGTGAAGGACCTGGAAGTGATAATGTCAGGGGATCTCACTTTCAAACTGTGCTTCATGGCACACATAAGTATGATAAGTACACCTAAATTATTGAGAACGGTTGAAGTCCCTTGAGTTGTATTTCCTGAAATACAGGCGAGACAGATACATGATAATATACTCTTGGAAAATCCTAGAGGGAATAGTATCAAATTTGCACACGAAAATCGCCCCCTACAAAAGCAAAAGACTCGGCAGGAGATGCAACATTCCCCCAATGAAAAGCAGGGGCACCATGAGTACACTAAGAGACAACACAATAAGTGTCAGGGGCCAAGACCATTCAACTGCCTCATAGCATACATAAAGGGGATTACCAGTAAACCCCTGGCTGTCTTCAAGAAGGCACTGGACAGTCACTTAGTCAGTACCTGATCAGGAGGGCTGTAGTTCGTACATTGGTTTATGTGGGGCCATCAGTAACAGCCTGGTTGATCAGGCCCTGATTCATTACAAGGCCTGGTCACTGACTGGGCTGTGGGGGGATATTTTGTGAAGGGATTCAGGGAAACTGGTTAGCTGGACTTGAGCCCTGGAAATGGGAAGTACGGTGGACCCCCGGATTAAGATGTCGTCAGATTAAGTAATAATTGGATTAGGTAACGTTTTTGCGTCAAAATATTGGCTCGGTTAACGACACTGAGCTCGGTAAAAGTCATTCATCCTGGACGTGTCCACGCGCCGTGATCGCCCCATTCACTCCATGTACAGCCAGTGTGCCATTGTTTACCAGCCAGTGAGGACGATTCCACACGTACATGTGATACATTTTGTATTATTCCATTGTTTTTAGTGCTTGTAACTGCTAAATAAGCCACCAAGGTCCCAAAGAAAGCTTCTAGTGCCAGCCCTTTGGTGAAGAGGGTGAGAAACACTATAGAATTCAAGAAAAAGTTTATAGAAAGATATGAAAGTGGTGGTGGTAGTATGGGCCAACAGGTCTGCTGCAGTGTTCCTGCTTTCTTATGTACACTATCCAGGGTACTTCCCCACACACCAGCCAGGGTACACACACACACACACACACACACACACACACACACACACACACACACACACACACACACACACACGCACGCACGCACGCACGCACGCACGCACGCACGCACGCACGCACGCACACGCACACGCACACGCACACGCACACGCACACGCACACGCACACGCACACTCACACTCACACACGCACACGCACACGCACGCGCACGCACGCACGCACGATTTGATTTGATTTCATTTGATTGGGACTTGCACATGAGTGAATAGAATTATCAAAGCTTATTGCTTGAGAAGCATTGAAAATTGGGTTGGGCAAATACGATTTTGTTAGCGGGATGGTTTGTGAAGGACCTGCCTAGTATGGGCCAACAGGCCTGCTGCAGTGTTCCAGTTTTCTTATGTGCAAACATTCCAGACACTCAAAAGTATTAAACAAAATCATTTTTTTACATGAAATATACATATCCCTACACAGAAAACAATGAGACATGCAGAATAAAACATTACTAAAATGACACTTACCTTTATTGAAGACTTACTGATGAGTGATGAGACGGGGAGAAGATGGAGGTGTACTATTGTTTGGAAGGGGAATCCCCTTCCATAAGGACTTCAGATATCAAGTCCTTTTCTGGGGTTACTTCCCTTCTTTGTTTTTTAATGCCACTAGGACCAGCTTGAGAGTCACTGGACCCCTGTTGCACAAAATATCTGTCCAGAGAGCTCTGTTTCTGGCATCTCTCAAAAATTTCCCTAAAATGGGACACAACATTGTCACTGTAGATGTTGCCAGCATGGCCTGCAACAGCTGTGTCAGGGTGATGTTCATTCATAATTTTTTTTTTTTTCAACAAGTCGGCCGTCTCCCACCGAGGCAGGGTGACCCCAAAAAAAGAAAGAAAATCCCCAAAAAGAAAATGCTTTCATCATCATTCAACACTATCACCACACACACAAAAACAGTGATAATGTGTGAGTGTGGTGAAAGTATTGAATGATGATGAAAGCATTTTCTTTTTGGGGATTTTCTTTCTTTTTTTGGGGTCACCCTGCCTCGGTGGGAGACGGCCGACTTGTTGAAAAAAAAAAATTTATGAATGAACATCACCCTGACACAGCTGTTGCAGGCCATGCTGGCAACATCTACAGTGACAATGTTGTGTCCCATTTTAGGGAAATTTTTGAGAGATGCCAGAAACAGAGCTCTCTGGACAGATTTTGTGCAACAGGGGTCCAGTGACTCTCAAGCTGGTCCTAGTGGCATTAAAAAACAAAGAAGGGAAGTAACCCCAGAAAAGGACTTGATATCTGAAGTCCTTATGGAAGGGGATTCCCCTTCCAAACAATAGTACACCTCCATCTTCTCCCCGTCTCATCACTCATCAGTAAGTCTTCAATAAAGGTAAGTGTCATTTTAGTAATGTTTTATTCTGCATGTCTCATTGTTTTCTGTGTAGGGATATGTATATATCATGTAAAAAAATTATTTTGTTTAATACTTTTGGGTGTCTGGAATGGATTAATTGGATTTCCATCATTTCTTATGGGGAAAATTAATTCTGATTGTCAGATTCGGCATAAGCACACACTGGATTGGATTAATTATGTTATCCGGGGTTCCACTGTACAATGCCTGCACTGTGAAGGAGGGGTTTAGGATATTGGCAGTTTGGAAGAATTTCTAAACTGTCGTATCTGAGCACCTCTGCAAAAACAGTGATTATGTATGAGTGAGGTGAAAGTGGTGAATGATGAAAGGATTTTCTTTCTTTTTGGGGATTTTTTCTTTTTGGATCACCCTGCCTTGGTGGGAGATAGCTGATGTGTTAAAAAAAAAAGAAATATATCTGAGAAGTAAATCGCTGACTTTTTTCTATGTTTTGAGAAGTAATAGTCAGAAAAAAATTTAATGCTATAGGTATTTCCTGTACATAGCCTTTAACCCTTTCACTGTCGGTGCTGTATAGATACGTCGTACAAGCAAGTGTAGGTGACGTATTAATACGCCAAAATTCTAGCGGTTTCAGATCTAGGGAGAGAAAGCTGGTACACCTACATGTGAGAGAATGGGTCTGTGTGGTCAGTGTGTAGTATAAAAAAATCGGGGAGCCAGTGGTGCACTGTGGAAGACCCATTTCAGTAGGCCTTGTTTACCATGCTTTGCCGTAATATATACCCCTCTCTCCGGCAGATTGGGACTGTTCTTTTCCCAAGTGATAGTTCTAACACAGAAGAAAGTGTCAGGGAAGATGAATTTCATGGTTTTAAGGATTTTGTGACTGAAAGCAATGCCTAGGACACCAGAAATAGTGCTGAAAACCCAGATGACCATCAACCTTGGATAACTCGAAAAAAGTCAGTGACTTATTTCTATGTGGGTGGTGAGGAAGACTGTATGTGTAATGGGTGTTTGTGGTGGTGGTTTAATGCTTCATTTGACACCAGCCACACTGCTCTCAGCACATCAACAAAGGCTACCTTCAACCATCCACACACTAACAACCTTCCACAAGCTGTAGCAGTTTTAGGAATGTGTCCAGTCACTATGTGTGTACAGTGGACCCCTGGATTACATTGTCATCGGAATTTGTAATATT